CCCAGCTGAACCCAGGCCTTGTTTAGCCCCACCCATCTTTTTATCGCTACGTCTTTCATCCCAGTACGTAACCTTATAGGGAGCCGTTTCCACCCCATTTTTAAATGCAGGTGACATAAACCAACTTTCTCTACAACTCAAACCTGGGAGTATTTTTTTCCTTGTTACTGTGCTGGTGGTTCCCACACTACATAGACATCACGTTGGTTTCTCTCTCCTCCCCCTAATAGGAATGCAGCCACTTGGAACATCAGGGTTCCTTGGAAATTCCCAAAGTGGTGCAACAGTCTTCCATCCAGTCCAGCTGTTAATGGCAGTTATGTCACAGGTGACTTGAGTTGCAGTCCATCTGTGGGAATGTAGACAACTGAGTCCTTGATGAGGATTTCATCGGGAAAAAGCAATTTTTCCAAAAATAAAATGGAGATATTTACACTGAGCTCTGGTTATTTGAGATTTACCTGTTTGGTCCCACCGCTCATGTACACATTCATATTTTAATGGAAAAGTAGGTCAGAATGAGCAGACCTGGTGTCCATACTGTAGCTTGGACATAGCCTCTGCGTCATTGCTCTGGATGTGCCCCTTGATTCGGTTACTGCGAGGAGACGGCAGCAGCTGTGCATTTGCAGTAGAACAAGCTGTGCCCATGGATTAGTAATTAGGACAAAATAAAAGGAGTGGGAGAGAGAAGGCATGATTACTACTTGATGAGCATCAGGTCAAATTTCTTTGCAGCTATTTTTTTTTACCAGCACATATCATTGAACATTAACTTGAGTGAACATGATTATTCCCTGTGCTTTCACCCATCTGAAAAATACCTTGTATTATTTTTCATTTCTTACCAAGCTTTCTCCTCCAGTGTGCATCTATTTTCTCCCATTTCTTGATTACTCTATTATCTTCATTTTGTTCTTATTATTTTAGTTTCTCTCTCTCTCTCCCTTGCTGTCTGTAATCCATTTGTCTAACTTACAAAGAGGGCAGCGGAAGGAAGTAGTGGAGGAGAGGCGTGTGTCAGAGTCAGAGAGCGTCTGCTCCAGCTGGAGTCAATATTTGCTTTAGGAATCTCAATAACAGGCCCACAGTCATCTGCATCTCTGATAATGGACCGCCATATGGCTCTGTTGACCCACGCTGTGCTGGGGCTCTCTCTCTCTGTCCCCATCCCTTCTTGTTTTTCATTTATTGGCTTTCTTGCAAGTTGTTTCATCAAAACCATTTCTTCTGTATTTTTTATTTTTTTGCCTTTACTTATCACCTCTCTAGGTACATTTTGTTATTTTTCCTACTAACTCCTTTTCTGTCCGCCCATCATCCACTAAACCCTGGACATGACCCACCACACTGAGCTGTGACCCGTGTTACCATAGCAGCAGGGCCTGGGATGCCCACTCTTTGTCCAGCACAGTTTCCAGCAAGTGACAGAAAACAGTGACGTTGCATGTCTGCAAGAAGGATAAAGAGCACATTAGGAAGTGCTTTTACATGCTTAAAGTCATGCTGCTCTCCTGTGAGGAACAATCAATTAGTCACACCATATTGTTTGGCAGCTTTTAGACCTTTCATATAAAGGATATATACTTTTTAGTATTGTCATTCTTCTGCTTTGTTCTTTGAAGAGTAAAATATGAGCTTATCTTTGTTGTCTTGATCTTCAAATTGTATATTTTTCTCAAACATCTTTTTATGATCTAAATAGCCTTTAAAGGCTTTCTCTATGTAGACATTTGACTTTCACTTTTGACATTCTTACCATGCTTTGTACTTTTAAAGCATTCATACTACAACCACATGCTGCAGCATAATAAGGTAATTTATTTTTTGTAGGTGATTACCATGGCACCACCTGATTTAACCCATTGATTTTTCTTTTGATTTCCTTCACATTAATATTTTTTTCTCAACATTTTGCTATGAAGGTCAGATAAGTAGAGCTAATGGCTAGCAGCTGCCCTGTTATCCAAATCTTAAATCTAAGACGTGGGTCGCTACTCCAAGGTTCAGATTTACTTCTCAGCAGATTCCCTGAAAAATAATGGACAGATAATTGTTAGTAGGTTTGCTGTTTCTTTGAAATCTTTACCCAGCTTTAAACTAATAAGTAATTTTTTTTACTTAGCATCCTTGTCAAACCTTTGGTTATTAGTCTGATTCCACTGGTGACATTTGATTGTTAATTGAGCTGCATAAAAATGTTTTTGGCTCAATGTTATGGATTTAAATCAGTAAAATGCTAAAAAAAAAAAAAAAAAAAACTGCACCTTCTTGCTTCTTCATGATGCAGAGTTGTTGTTTCATAATATTCATGTAGATGGATGAATATTCCTGCCAGGCTGTGTATGTTTTTATTAATAGTGTCAGTTAAAAGTAGAGTGGAGACTCCTTTGTCACTTTTGACCCTGCGTCCAGATTTTGTCGGTTACCCTGAACAGCTTGGCTATCATACCCGCTGGTGTGTCTCTGCACAGGTGTCTGTCATCCCTGCTCCGCCACGGTTCCCCTCAAAGCCATTGGTCATGGCTTTATTGGCCCCTGCTGTGGCGGCATGTGCCCACCGCAGGCTTCTTGCCCAGTGACTGTCTTGTCCTATCTATCTAACCCAGACCAGCGCCTCTCGGCCCAGTCCAGCCTATCTCAGCTTACCCTGCTTCATCCTTGGCGTTCGCTCCAGCCGAGTTTCACTCAACCCAGGCAATCATAATGAGACGGGGGAGGAGGGCATCAGCGTTCGATAAATAGCTTTGTGTGTTTGAGAGTTCATGCGTTCGTCAAGCAATTTGTCAGGCATTGTTTGAGTAGAAAACACGGTCACAGAGAATAGTCCGACTCATTCTCGGATTTTGCTCACCCACACATTGTTAAATCTCAGGGTACTTACAGTCATCATGGCATCAAATAGTCCTTTTTACCCCAATGATTTCCCACACCATATTTTATCCCACACTTTCCTCCATTCCACAACAGACCTAGTAGGATGTATCCATGATAATCATATGATAATGGCTATCAGAATGTTTTTCCACCCTCACCCAGAGGCCATTTTGCAGGCTTATTTATCTATTTATTTATTGGAGTTTCCCAATTCCAAATCCAGCCATCCATCCTGCATGCTGGCTGCCCAGGCCTCAGTCACTGCTTGTCACTCTGAATTTCAAATGGCTCCAATTTTCCCCCTGATGGCACGGAGAAGTGGCAGGCAGCACATCGGGGAGGGTGGTCCTAGACATGCTGCCTGCAGCAGGGGTTCTATTAGAGAGAGGCAAGGGATGCGAGTAGGGAGAGGAGAGCTTTTCAGCATCCCGCCAGCATTGATGTATTCTTTTTTTTATGATTATTTTGGAGACTGCATTCTCATCTGTGGCTGTGTGGCATGGCTGATTGTTCCATTTTTGCTCCTGGCTGGGATGATGATAGTGGAGCTGTCCGGTCCAGCAAAGCTACCTCATACTCTCAGTGGTTTTATTTAGCAACTATTGGACAGCTTAAATGACTTAAATAACCATAAGTCAGATAGTCCAACTAATGTTTAAAATAAGAAAACATGTCAGTAAAGTTTATTATTTCTGAGGAGGAATTTCTAACCTTTCCTGAAACTAAAAAGGAACTGTATATCTTAATGGACACTAAAGGTTTAACTGTTGTCATAGGGACTGATCACTTCTGATATTAATGGACGAGTGTTTGCCTTCTGTTAATGGGCCAAATTAAGCCATTGCAGACCAAGCCTAGTTTATTAATAAGCAAGAGCAAATAAGAAATATGACACAAATGTAAACAATACACTGTGTTTGACTGAGTTAAAATGTAACTTGACTGTTTTTCCAGTAACAAATGAGGTAATTAAAAACATGACACTTATCTAAAGTCTTTTTTTACCATCTAAATGAAACATATTCGACTCTTGGTCTTGTATGAGAAGGGAGAGAGTATGATGGAAGAAAGGTGGAAGTGAAATTTTCTGTTTTTTAAGAGAATCTCAGGTTTCATCAGGATTCATCACATTGTAGCCCCTAGCTTTTGTTCCTTCATGAGGTCAAGAGCAAGAAGTATGTTTGTTCCAAAGAACCTCTGGAGGGCTGTGCTGATTCTGAGCTGCTTTCTGGAGGTTTTTATATGGCAGAAACAAACATGGATGACGCTCGTCAAATTGGGACTACAGCCTTTCGAAAAAGAACTGCAAAAAATCCAAGTTACACAAATGTAACAAAAGGCTGAAGTTCTCCATTGCACAAACCAAAACCTATGAGGTGTAACACAGAGAACAGGGGTGGTCTGTGAAAGTCATTTGTGCCAGTGGGAGACCTCAGGCAACATGGAGGAAATGGGGGAGATTGTGGGCTTTTAAAATTAAATTCTTTAAAAACGGTTGTGTAATGTTAAAAGGTTTGTTTGAACAATTAAAAGGTCGTAAAAATTTGGTTGATACAATTTTATAAAATGGTGCAATTACAGTAATATTTCTTTTAAATCCTTGTGAAAGAGATTCCAAATCACAATGGATTTAATTTCTCGTAAAAATAAAGGTAAAATAAAAATAAAAAATCTTCATAATCTTTGGGTGATATATTGCAGAAAATATACTTTCTTGTCATTAATTCCTTGTTTTACCTCGATTAACATTAAGGCAAAGACTTTAGGCAAACAAAAAAAAAATCTTTTAAGTCATACATCAGTTTTTTTTACGATTTTTTAACCAATAACTAGGGCTGCGGTTCTTTTATAGAGGGGGGAACAGGTGGCACCGATATTGCATCCAAACAGCCTCTTCAAATATAGTTTGGATAGAAAATGTTTTTAACTTATGGTGCTGGTGTAGGTTATATTCATTTTGCTTTGTCTAAAACTGAAATAAACCTTTTTTATTGTCATTTTACAAAAAAATATATAGTTTTAGTCTCTAAGAACTGTTTTGTAAAAAGCTCAAAGTGTGCACCAGGTGCTTTTGTTTTCTTCTCCTACTCGTCACGTTTGCTCCTTTAACGAGGCATCGCCAGCTACGAGGAGAGAGCACTCTACTTGGAAGCCATTGTCCAGAACCACAGAGAGGTCATGACCTTTGAAGACTTCGCTTCGCAGGTCTTCTCCCCCTCCCCTGCCTATTCAGCGAGCGGGACAGGTGAGAAATAAACATCTCATTGCTGCTGCATCATTTGTCCTCTTTTCTTTCTTCATTTGTTTTCTTACCTCCCTCTCCACATTAGTCTCCCCTCCTTCAAAACACACCTGTTTGCCCCCTTTCTCCCTCCCCTCCTCTCTTCTTCAACGCCTACGCCACTGATGAATATCAAACAACAAGCCCTGGCTCTTCATGCGCTCCGACTGACTTCAAACACACTGCTTTCTCCACTTCCTCAAGCCCCACTCACACTACTTTGTTCATCCTTTTTTTTTCCAATCTGCATCTTTCCATGCAATTACTTGCCCCATGAATATAAGCAGCCTCTTAAATGCCAGTTGCAGAGTGCCTGTTTGTGTTTGTCTGTGTGTGTGTTTCCTCATGAGCTCAGTCACTAACACTTAAAAGATCTGACCGACAAACAGCAGCCCGCGGATGTCAGCACAGCCCTCTTATCAGTCCATGATGAATAGAATGGAAAACGTGTCTTATCTTGTTCTTCCTCCTTGTAGCAGCTCTGATCGATCTGCAGCAGCACTGAAATCAATACTAGATTGCACTTTTCTACTCTATTGGATCCCAACACACATTCTGTTTTGACAAGGAAAGCACTTCACAATACCACACCACAGATGCCTTGTCGTTTCCAGATATGTCAGGGCTTATACTTATTAACGGTGCTTTAGCGTGCATGCGGTGTGTTTACTGTGAGTGTAGACAAGTGAAAATTAACTGCGGCCTATTTTCCAGCGTTTCCATCTGTGTGTCGGACTTTAGATAGGAGCAGGTGTGACATTCAGGCAGGCAAGAAGTTGTCATTCACATTTCCATACCGCTGCCCGCTCCTTCCTGCAGAGGTGTCAAATCTCCTTCGGCAACAAGAGAGAAAAAAATACCCACACATTAAAGCTAAAACACATTTCTCTACACTGTTAGATTTATTTAGTGCTGTATTTCAAATTGCTTTTATGTTTATGTTCCGATACTTAGACACAAATGATGTTCTTTTACGTAAAAACATTTTAAAAATAGTTAAATTGCTGCTTATGTCAGTTTAGAAATATTCTGCTGTTTGTTCTTTTTATACTTCAAAAAATGAGGGGTTATCATGCATTTTTCCCCTAAATTACTTTATTCTTATAAAATAAGAATGTTGAATTATCCCATTTCTTTTTCCTTGTGTTTAATTTAATAAGCAATGCAAATCTATGCCGTACCGTTGTGATCACTGTGAGGAAACAACAGTAATCTTGTTAACACTAAGGAGATATTCTCTTAAAGTAAAGAAGAAAAAAGAAGAAAGGGCTAAGAGCAGAGCCACTTTGGCAAGAACCAAAATATCTTGACCACATGGGTGGATCACTGGGTCTCCCAAGCTAGACATCCGAAGATGCAATTTGAAGGAAACTTTGTGAGTCTGTGTTTGTATGTCCTCAGGCTATAAATGCTGTCAATGATTAGCTCTTGGTAATACCTGAAGAGTCTTTGTTATATGAAGCAAACAAGTGAGTTTCTAAATATAGATGATAAATGATGATTTCCTTTATTAATGTAAAAATGCTGGGGTGACTCACTCTTTGTAGAAAAGCAGCTGCCACCAGGCGTTTAGAGAAACTGGGGTTTTTGTAGTTGTTGAAGGATTTTGTTTCTCTTCCCTTTGAAATGTTTTCTTTTACAGTCAGATTAACATCGTTTTTTACATCTCAGTGGGATTCTAGTTTTCAACTTTGACTAGGCCGCTTCAAAATCTCCTTTTTTTCTCCTTTTTTTAGGATGTGTTGCTCATCTCACATACTGATAAGAGGAAATTCTCCTTCATGGTTTTCTGGTTGAGGCCAGATTTTCTGGGTTTTCCAGTTCAGCCTAAGACTTTTACTCTACCTCTACCATCTTTAACTGTGGATATGAGGTTATTTTTGTGTTTTTTGTTGTTTTTTTCTTTGTTTAATGTTGGTAGTTTTGCATTAGATGCACTTCATCCTTAAAGTTTAACCATTTTCTCAGTTAATGGAATATTTTTCCAAAATCTTTAGAATTGGGTCTTTTTTTTTGTCTGCAGTGGTTTTAACCTTTGAAATCTTCCATAGATTCCATTTCTGCCCAGCCTCTTTCTTAATTTTCAATTATAAACCTGAGCTAAACTGAGGTCTTCCGTGCTTAATGTGCTGTTTTGTGTTTTGTGACCTCCCGGCTTTATTAGCGGACAGCTTCTTGGTTCATTCTGTGGAATGCCGACCTTTCCTGGGCCTTTCTTGATGAATTTCTTTTGATCCAGACATAATCTGTTGATTATTCAGATCTGTTAGCCCTTCTCATGATATCAGACAGGCTCTAATTAACTGATCGCTGGGTTCTCTGAAGCTCTTGATTAACTAGGAAAAAGGAGTTATTCACCGTTGATCTGTGATTGTTCGTGTAGGGACATATTTTGGCAAAGTTTTTTCCTTTAATAATTAAATCATCATTTTAAAATAGCATTTTTATTTACTCAATGTCTCTTTTTTGGGGTTATTATTATTTTTTTTAATGATCAGAATATTTTGACTATAAAAGGACAAGGATAAGAAAACATCTTTAGAAGAACAGTGTAATTCCTTGCTGTCGATGTATATCCAAGTACAAAACACACATGGGAACAAAAGTTGACCAGCTTGAGATGTTGACTTCTTAATCTACAGAACTCTACACTATTCCAGCCTTATAAGATTGTATATAATTTAATTGAACTGTGTTTGCTGGCTGACTGCTTCGTTTCCCTCTACCCACCAGTGCTACAGCTCTCAGTTACTTTTAATCAGGCAGGGCTGTGTTTATACGCAACTTTGTCCTCCCCATCTGCTTTCTGTCCATTCTGCTTTGGCTGCCATTGCTGCCACTAACATGTCATCCATCCTCCATGACAGCGTGCAGGCGTTGGCCGGGGATGGCTTGGGACATGGAGTACCCCTGGGCCAAGCTGGACTGTAAGACTGCCTGTTTCCTTCATATTTGGCATGGCGATCAGCCCATTAACATCCACCACTCAGCACTTAGTTTTACTCCGATCCTGATATCATCAGATCACTACAGCCTGCGCTTAATTCATGTTAATGCATCCAGGTTTTGAATCCAGCCACAGGTCCTGCATGCTGAATTGGGCACCGTGAATAATACCCTTACCAGGAGAATATGGCATATACATGGTGACATGCAGAACTATTCATACCCCTTAAAACGTTTTTATGTTTTTTCACATTTCTGCTACAAAGCTTAATGCATTTTATTGAGGGTTTGTGTGACTATGGAAGAAAAGTGTTAAATTTCAACCGTAAGTTCTACTTCGTAAAATCCCTGTTTGCTGCAACTTCAGCTGCAAGTTCATGTAGGATACGTCTCTATCAGCTCTGCAGACGTATCGCTCTGGTTGCACATAGATTTTCTTTTAAAATCAGTGTTTAAAGTCTTGCAAGTTCTCAATTAGAATTAGGACTGGACTTTGGGCCATTCGAATATGTGAAAATGGTTTGATAATTGTATGTTTAATATAATTTACCTGCTTTAAGGTGAACTTCTGTCTCGGTTTCATAGGTTGTGCAGCAATGATGTGTGAGTGGCAGATTCTGCTGTCAGTTGCATTAGATTTTATAAGGAGGTAGCAAAATAAAGGGAGGTGGTTGCAGGGTTTTTTGCTTAAGCTCTTAATAGTACTGAGCCCCTAAAGGGACACTGAAGAAAAAAGGAAGAAAAAAAAAAACTTTCTAGTGCAAACCAAATACTTTTTTTAACTTTTAATCAATTTTCCAGACATTTTGTATACACCCATCTATATCCATTCGGTTGACTAGTCATTTGCAGGTGTGTTTGAATGAATGTCACAGCATACATTTTGCCGAAATAGACCACAGGACACAAGGATACGGTTTAAGTGACGTTCAGACAGAACATAATAGGGATGTCTTACAAGCAATGCAGCAATTTCTTTGTATGGTGCCCAAACTGAAAATATAGCCTAATTAGTTAATGTACATGAACCTTAATGAACACGGTTGTCTAAAATACTCATATGATCATGCAAGAAAGTATCTGGTTCGCCTAACAACTTTTTTTTTTTCTCTTCAGTGTCCCTTTAGGGGCTCAGTATAATAGTGTATGGGTGTTTGGAGCTTTAATGTGACAAAATGTAAAAAAGACAAAGGGGGATGAATATCTTTGTAGATTCTAGGCCACTCATGTCATTCTTTTTTTGTTTTATTGCAGCAGCTGTTATCTTTCATTGTCATCGTGCAGCTTTTGTGCAACATCATGACTTTGTGCATGAACTGTACCATCTTTCCATTAAACCCTTCACCATCAGTGCTCTTCCGTTGCTGTGTTACACCACACTGCTTTTCACCCCTCTTCAGTGCTTTTGTTGTTGTTTTTCTAGTCATCTGCTGTACTTCTTAAAATGACTATTAGCACAGGAGAAATAAAGGTTCACTCAGGATAAAACTACATGAAAGCTCTGTGACCCTTTGAGGCGCCCCACCATCTTTTGCTCCTTCACTCCCAGCTGCTTTTTTACTCGTAATATTGGCTCTAAATGTTTCTAAGCCTGTTGTTTCCATTTGAACTGTGTAATGTTTGTGCTCTGGCTTTCTAAATTGTCTTCTTCTTTTCTAAACTGTTATTGGGCACCATTAAACATGACGGTACCTTCAGAGAAATACCACTTGTTCATGAAGTCATCACCCAAAACCAGTTAACCCAATTTTTCTTTAAAGCTTTGAGATCCAATTAACCACAACACCACACATGCTTGCTGAAGCTCCATCCATCCAGCTCCCTGAAACGATCCAAGTTTTTGTTCTTTTTCAGCAAAGATGTGTTGTGTTCTGCTTTTCTGGTGCTTCCACCTTTTTTTTTTTTCCTCACAAATGAAAATCTACTCTGTTTTTCCCTTTTAGATTAAAAACAAATGTTAAAGGTCCAAATACTAGATGTGGTGAAGGTAAGCCCAAGTCAGACTGGAAGCTTGTTTTGGTCCGACCGCCTAACCTACCCTTTACTCGTTCCACTCACCCTGTTTTCTCCCACGTCACTCCTTTTTTTTTTTATTAAGTACTAACCAAGCTTTATTTACTGAATGCTCTTACAAATGGAAAGGAAAGAGAAACCGGGCTGTTTATTGGGGGGTGTCGTGGTGTTTAGGCCAGACTGGTAATTGAGAGCGATGTACGGTGGCGACAATTAGCACCTGACTAAGTAGCAGCATGAACAATAAAGCTACACTTCTGGCTCTCGCTTCTGCATGTGGTGCGCCTTTATCTCTTTCCCCCGCAAACACTTCTCTCTTTTCTTTCTTTCCCCCTTTTTTAAACTCCCCCCTCCTTCTCATTTCCTCCTGTTGGAGTGTGCCTGTTTGCCTGGGGCAGACTCTGAGACTAACACCTGCCGCACTGGAAGACGTCTTTGTCATCTAAAGCCGTGTTTGAACTGCTGCATTGGGGACCAATGAGAGTGCAGGGTCATTTAAAGGGACCCTTTATTTACCTCTTTCAATTTTTTCTTCTTTTTTTCCATCTATAGCTAATGGGACTGTAAGGAAGTTTTGAATGTGCAGATTTATAACATAAATATACACATTTAGATGAATATGTTGGTACTTCTTTGTGTAGTATATTTAACAATAATAGGCCATATACTGTAAAGCAGTAATAAAACAAATGCAGTCCTTGGCATGGCTGGTTGGAGTTCCTAAAGGTGGATGCTAAAGTAAACTTAGCAAATTAATTAATCCCACCATGCACAATTCGTTGGAGCCGCACAGGAGATAAATAAAAAAAAATAATAATAATATATATCATGTTATAACATTAAAATAAGATGATTTATTTTATTTTTTTTTTAGACGATAACATAATTTTCTGTTTGTTTCAAAGGGTTAAAGTGCTTTTAACACTGCAGAAAGTTTGCTATATGAGGCATTTCTTGCTGGGGATTGCCAGTCAGCTGCCTGAAAGGTTATGCCTTTCTTACAGAAAAAAAAAAAAAAAAAAAAACTTTTTTTTAACTGTGAACTTTTTAAATAATTGCCAATTTTTGTCTGTTTTTTGTTTTGTCTGTCTTCTACTAAAAAAAGCAGTTTGTTGTTTTAAACACAAGTAAAAGAACATATGTATACAAATATATTTATAATCCATATTTCAGACTGGATGAAACACAGATATGTTGTCATTTTTATTCTATATTGGTGGGGTGTTAAAGTGAGCAATTCTAATCCACGTCTTTAAGTTGATTTTAGTGATTTATTTTTTGCCAGATAAAAGAAATTCCTCCAGGCCTGTGTGTTAAAACCAACAGATAATTGTTCATTCTTGTTCTAAAGCTTCTTGTGGATTTTTCCTTTTGAAGAAGAAAAATTTTACCTATGATTAAAAAGTTTACTGAAATTACTAAAATATATGTATTAAACCAAAAATAATAGAATAAATGCTAAACATAACATTATTATGTTAAGTTAGTTTAGTATTGGTTTATTTAACATAAACTTAATCATATTATGTGACACATTTTGGTCAAATTTGGTAAAACTTTGCTTTTTTAAATAAAATAAAATCAGTGCTTATTTTTTCCCTTATTGTTCCGATGAACAGAGGGAAAACTTTCATTTCTTTTGGGTTTTTTCTGTCAGCTGACTGGCAGTTCACAGCAACAGGTGGGGGAGGAGCAGCCGTACTCTTTGCTTCATAGAACCAGAGAAAACTCCCCACTCCAAGCACTTTCTCTACCATCTAAGTAACATGACTTCAAGTCAAAGGAACGACTTATGAAAAAAAAATGCAACAGCTTTGAGAACTTTCTTGAAGCTTGATGGGTAATTAATGCTTTATTAACCAAGAGCCCCATCTAGAGAGATTGCTGTTTCATTTCATGAAGAGAAGCCTGTTGTGTATTTTCTACCTTTAATAGATATATGCACTCCTTTATTTGGTCAGTCAGCATTTTTTTAAGTTACTGCTGGAATGAACGTTCTCCGGTGAAGAATAAGGGAATGCTAAATTCCCCCCTGCTTTTTTAGCCAAGCTTGTCCCTCTTTTACATTTGAATGCAGAAATATTTAAATGCATTTTCACATGCCCTCCTGTAGCCCTGCACAATGCCCACACCCACCCAGCGTTTCATCCTCAGCCCGGCCTCCTCTCCCAGCGAGGCTCAGCACTGGAAGCTGCTGGTGTCCACTGTGCTGCCTGCGTCTGTTATTCCTGCCATCTGCCATTCCTTTTAGCCGCTGCAACTTGAGATGCCTCGGAAAAATGGCAGGAAATAAAAGGATAGGAAAGAAAATAGGCAAGCAGATGCTATCTCAACAAAGCAGAAAAGTTGTTTAAACGGGCGGGGGGGGGGAGGCCCCCTGTATTTCGGATTTGGTCGGTGGGCACAGCGAGGATGTCAGCGTTCACAATGCTTGATTGTCCACAGCGGCATTATTACTGTTAGTCGTCCCATAATCACTGATGGGAACTTTCTTTCTGTAAAAAAGAACAAGGTGTTCCAACGGGAAACCTCTAATATTTACAACGGGAGTGTATTTTGTAATCTTGTTTTCATTCAGAGCATTCTGCTATCACGCTGTGACCTGGATGTTTTCATTTCAGCTGGAAAGATGGCTCTTTCTTTTTGCATCATATAAGAAAATGGGAAAACATGGGCTTCTCTTTTAACAAGCTTTGCTTTTCTACAGTATGTGGGGGGGGAGCATGTACCTTTTATAATGGGCCGTCTAATTAATTTGAGCTGAAATCATTCAGATCCTAACCGGGTTCTGATTTATTTGCAGCTTCTGTTATAGCTTTGTGAATGTTGGTGAAAATCCTCTGACCTTGGCCTAATGAGGAGTCACAGCATGCTGGGATGAACATGAAGCAGACGCTCTGGGTTTAACTGTTAAACTTCTCTTTCTGCAAACTCTCCCTCCATCTCTCTGTTAGGATCCCTCACTGGCAGCCTGAGCCCCGAAGCAGGAAATACGACGGACTCAGTGGAGCAGGTGTCTCCCACCCTGCCCCGCTCCACCAAACAAAGAGTTTCGGGAAAACTCCGCAGATCAGCGAGCGCTATAAGCAAATCTTCAAACTGAGCTCTTCAACCCATTCCCAAGAGCGAAGCCTTTAATCTGCTGTGGAAGAACCTCACACACCCTGCCGGGACTGCAAGATTGTTTTTCGTTGTCTTTTTTTTTTTTTGTGTGATATAAACATTAACTTGAGCGTGTTGTAATTTTTAATTTAAAGTGGCTATCGATGATCTTTGTCTCTGCATTTCAGTTTAACTAGCTTAATTGAAACTAAACTCTGTTTATTACGGTGGAATCATAGGAAGACTTCTGTCTTAATGCAAACTGATCCAAGTGGGATTTCTTTCTAAGATTCTAGAGCTCGCTGAAAGCGCTAGAAAAACTGATGTTCTTACTATAGTAAGGAAACGGGGAGCAGTTAATTCAACACTTTATGTAAAGCACTGAATGATACAGTTGGTGCTAAACTTGCACAGGAGATTGGTGTCCTTTTAAATATGTCTTTTTACCTCTTTTTTGCATCCGCCTCTGCCTTCCTGTGTCCATGGTGCCACATTAGGTTGTGACTGAAGCGCTTTTTCCTGCTCTGTAGCAGCAGTTTGCTCAACATTTAAGGCAGACATGCAATTTTTAAAAAACTTTCTAGGTGTATATGTACGCCAAGCACTACCACACCTGTCGCTGCAGCGTCCAGTTTTTTCTTGTTTGTTTGTTTTTCTCCATCGGACAATCGATGGCTTCCTTCCAACTAAAATGAAATTTGCTTTTGTATTTTTTTACTGCTCTCATTTTCCACTTTAAATGAATTCCAATAGATTCTGTCACTATTTGATTTATGCATCTCTGCTGGAATGAGAAAAGACTGCATTTGTAATTGTTCTATGATGACATTAACTTGGGCTCATGTCCGGTAATTGGATAAGTTTCCTCCTGTCTCTTTCCTCTGCCATCACTTTCTCCTGTCCTATGATGACACAGACATTCCGACGTTCCCAACCTACCGACCTTTTTGCACTCGCTCATCATTCGCATTGAATGCTCCTCTTTTGAAGTTTGTTTGGGATTCAATTTGCTTTAATGTTTTGCCTCCATGTTTGCTAAGTTCAATGATTTGATGAGTTGTTTTATTGTGTAGTTATATGAATCGTTTGCTGTTTAGAGGAAAAAACCGTCAGACCCTCAGGTGAAACTTTATTTCATGCACTGGTTTATGTATGTATGTATATATGTGATGTATGCAACCCTTTAGAGTGTCCTCATGTACATTATTCTGTGATGGAGCTTCTCACAGTGCCTGTTTAAAAACAAGGACTAATTGAACTAGAGATGCACCAATCTGAGCTTTGTGGCCAACGCCGATCTTACACCAATCTGATTCTTCTTTAAGAATCATAAATTAAACATTTCATTTTTTTTTTTATGCAGCCATGGTGGTTTGCTGTTGAACAGGGTTAACTATAATCTTCTTAAAAAGGCCAAGTGATGTGAGATGACATTTAAAACTGACTTTTAAATTGGCAATTAGCGCAGTTGTTGAACCTAGAATTACTAAAACAGCAGCTTTCATTTATATTAAGGACTTTAAATGCCTAAACTCTGGGAATGCAGCATGAGGCAAGACGATACATGACTCAGTGACAATATTTAAGCTATTTTCGGGTGGGAAATGCCCTCCCACCCCCTCCTCATTTAATTAGTTTTAGTTTTTTTAAAGTCTCACACTTCATTTCACATTTGAAACCAGATATGGTAGAGTGGAGATTCAAATAACTCTTTATTTTAGCACACAGGTCTTTCCTCTCTGGCTCATAAACATTGATGTAAATGAGGAGGCTTCCTCGCTGCTATTGTTGCCGGCAGAATTTTTTTAACAACTAAATAACCTCCTTTTTATTTTTATAGTAAGTTTTGCAAGCATCTAAACAGCGCTGCTCTATTCCTATTTAGTAAAAGTAGAAAATCGTAACCCTGCTGCCAATACTTGCAGAGCCTTCACATCCGTAACAGATGGTGGTTTAAAGCTCAGCAGGATAAAATAGAACATTTAGCCTTCCTGGTTTCTGCTAAGAGATTTGCTCTCTCCACTGCCCATATTAACTGCAGCTACGTAATAGAGAATACTGATACTAAACATTAGCAAACTTCGAGTCTTCATCAGTTACAGCGTCCACACCAAAGGTTGGCGTTCCTATGGTGACAGACTGAAGTATGGTTGCTCAGTAATTTTTTGGGGGGGGATAAAGCTGGTATTTGAATGGCTGGTCACCAGCTGATTTCTTGGTGCATCTTTTAATAAATTTAATAAAAGGCTCCCTTTTCACCATATTGAGCATTTATTAAATATTTCACCTCTTTGGCCAAGTGCTCTTTTCCCTCTGCATCTCTAACGATCAGTATCTTGTGCCTCCCACAAAAACAGGTGGATCAAGGATCATTTATAGAAAGCTACTCCGTCCTCATCTCAGGAAGTAGTTGAGTGTAACCAACTCCTTCTCTTTCCCATGATCCTCTCTCTCTTTTTCCTGGTGTCCTCCTGAGGCCCAGGCTCCTTGGGAGGAGCTGACTTCAGCTTTAGGTGTAGTGCCAGAGCTAAACTCTCACCACACCTCTTGGCAACAGCTAGCTCAGCACCGCTCTTAACCTGCATGCTCAGGTTGCCATGGTAGCCAGGTGTCCTCCCCTCCCTTGATTTCCCTCCACCCCAATGCACTCACTCTGAGAGCTCCACCCAAGCTGCAACACTATCCCCATCTGTTGCACCTCTATGCCTTACTGTCTTTCTCCAGCATCTCACCACCTTTTGTTTTGCTCATTCCTACAGCAGAATATGTGGAGTCGAAACAGCAAGCGGTCCACAGAAATGTTTTTGTGCTTTTTTTTTTTTCCCTCTTTGGTTTTGTTTTTAAGAATGTATGAATATATAAGCCTGCATCCAAGCTGTGGCTTTTGTTTTTCCCAAAAGTTTCTCAAAGGATATACCCACTATGTTGATCTAAAGATTGTAGCTTGTAGAATAACGTCTTTTGAAGAGATATTTTACTCCTCTTTTAGTGGCTTAGTAGCTGAAAGTGTCTGGACCAAGATTCTGCATCTTATATTTGTGAAGAAAATGAGTTGAGTCTTAGACTTGTTATTTTTCTCTTCTCGTTTTAGAAATCCTTGTACATTGTTTCAATTTCCAGGGCCACCATTGCCCTCTTAATATAAATATATAATAATGCCTGTAATATAATCTTTGTATGAGAGAGCAAAAAAAGCTTGAAATTTTCATCATTTGTCAACATATCAAACTGTTTTTAATGACCGAAGTCCTGCTATCTTCACTGGAAACGTGAAAATTGAAGCATTTCATTAAATCATTTTGAAATTCTGCATTTTGTTTATCATTTTATATTGAATTTATTTTGTGCAACGTGCTGATTTAAAGTTTGTTAGTGTGGGTTTGAATCTGTGATGCTGCTGTCTCTGTGGGCTCTCTGACCCCGGCCCGGCTGTGCCAGCAGCATCGGGGGTAACCTGACCCTCCTCCCATCTGTCTCCCCTGCTGCTCAGACCTACTTAGAGGAGGCCTGCGTAATGGAACCTCACCAGGAGGTACAGGTGCAGCCGCTGCAGCACCTACAGGTCCCCCTACCTCTCCTGGGCCACATAAAGGCACAAGAAAAAGCACTTGACCATAATTGGAGCCCTGAAACTGTGTGTGAGAGAAATAATCCTAATGTTACCTCATTTTCACCCGGCTCAGCGCTGTCTTCTTCAGTCATTGACTAGATATGTTACAACAGAACAGGCTGACACTGTGATTCCATATTGTATTATTTCATGTCTTTAGGGCCCATTTTCACATTTCGAACATCTTAGTGTTGCTGAGGCAGATGGGGGATTTTTAAAAAGCTATTTTATTATTTTTTTTCCTTTAAAAAGGTCCAGAATATTAATAAAACTGGGCTAAACAACATAAATGAGGGTGAAAGGTTGAGTTGGAGTAACAGTATTTTATTTTCAGTTGATAGACTGTGTGGCAAAAGTCTTTATATTGTATAATATTCACCTTAATATTTTGATTGATTAGTATATTTATTTTAAGTTTGCATTTATGTGCTTTTCTGTAAACCGCTAAAACCCTTTTTTACTAATGACAAGTTCTGCAAAGTGGGCTAATTTAAAAAAAAAAAAAAATTCTCTTTTAAAACCCCTAAAAAAAATCTATTGCAACTGGTTGTCATTAGAATTGGACAACTAGTGATTGATAAATGCCCAACAGTGTGTGATTTAACCTCAGTGTTATGTAGGCATGTTGGAGAACATTGGTGAAAGACCAAGGAACACAGCTGACAGTCATGGTAAGTTTAACCCTTTATAGGGCTTTCAGTGAAAGACTTTAATCATCTAAATTTCAAACAAAGAGTAAAATGCAAAAAACGGAAATCTAAGCAAGTCAGTTTTTCTTAAAGTAAGTGCATTTTTTTCTTGAACTAAGCAGGTAAGTGAGATACTTTGCAAATGGAATAAGAAATTTTACATTTAAAATAAGGGGGAAAAATGCAGTCTCCTATTTCAAGAGCATAATATCAAATAATCTGATTTTAAGGATAAAAATGCTCTTTCAGGTGGGAGATTTTCTTATTTACCTGCTCAAATTAAGGGTAAATACACTTATTTTAAGACATTTTCACAAATTTAAAGATCGTTTTTGTAGTGTGGTATTGGAATCCAGGACAAGACCTTATTACCTTTGTAACCTTCAAATAATATGTATATTTTGATGGCATAAATGAATGTGAAAGTAATTACACCAAACGTCAACTTGCCCGTATATATTAAGAAAAATAACAAAAGTGCTTCTATGAGAAATTCCTGAAAAACAGAGTAAAAGAAATGGCACTCCATTTGTAAGGGGTATGCAAATGATCAAAAATGGTAACTTGCCCTATAAAGGGTTAAAGGTGAGTTTGCTTTATGAAATCCAGATATTTGTATCCCACAGAGCTCCTTTCAATATATCATCAAGAATGCAGGAGTCTGCAAACTTCCCAGGCCAGTTGAGGAGAGCAGTATTCAGAGTAGGAGTCATTAGGCATCTAGTAACTCTGCAGAGATCTACATTCACCGACTCCTAGTGGCTTTTGTGGAAGAGTGACACCCAGAAAGCCACAGTGAGTCCCATTTACAGTTTGTTTTAGATCATTTAGGGAACACAACAAACATGGAAGAAAGTTCTGCTCAGCTGAAATCAAAACTGAACTATATGAAAACTCTTCCTCACCCACCGAGGGCGGTCTCCCCCGTTTTTTCCTCCAAGTTCGGGTCCTCTACCAGAGACCTGGGAGCTTGAGGGTTCTGCGCAGCATCTTTTATGTTCCTAGAGCTGCACTCTTCTGGACCGAGATGTCTGATGTATTTCCAGGGATCTTCTGCAACCACTCCTCCTGTTTAGGTCTCACTGCCCCAACTCAGGTATTGAATGGGCTTTAAGATCCTGATGTAAGATTAAGCAAATAAATAGCAGATTGTCTCCATCAATCTGAATAAGCTTGATTTGTTATACATAAAGAATTTACTTTAAATCTGTCTCTATTCATCCAAAAACAAAGACATGCCATATTTGCAGCTGCCACTGCAGGTGCTTGTGTAAAGTACTGACACAACAGGAGCATGGAAACAAATGCATACCACACTTTTCAGATCCTATCTCTACTCTTTTTTTTCTTCCCCCTTACATCTAGAAGCTACTTTTTCATCCAAGCTTCCACTGAAAGTATCTGGTTGCAACATCACCCAATCTGAAAACACCCAGAGATGTGAGTGACAGCTACTGTATTGGACAGGGATCATTTAAAGTCATGAAAGTCTGGGTTGGCTACTCTGAGTAGTTTTAAAATCTTTAAAGTTGTTGTCAAACACTCTCCTCACTGCATCTCTGACTTGTTTGAGTTTTCTCATCTTACTTTAAGCTTTAAAGCTCCTGCTGGTCAGATCTAAAGTCAGTGGAGCTGATGATTCCTTAATAATCTTGCAACCCAGAAAAAAAAAAGAGTTTCTCTTTCTTTCCATGAAGCAGACAGATGTTTTACTGCTCCAGAGGTGAGCTCTGATCCACCACCTCCTTTGTCCCGCTGTCATGTCCTGACATGGTATTAAAGGCAGCAGGGGATTTATGATAAGGCTCTAAGTGCTTCTCTCCTCTCTTGAGCCTTTGCTGATGATTTACTGGAAAATGGCTCTGATAAACTGGATCCGACAGTAATTCACACAGAGAGACTCCTGATGGCAGATGGTGCTGCGAATTAAAAGGTTTTCCAAACTTTCAAACATTTAGAATCTTAACTTGTAATTTGTTTTAACTGGTTAAATAAATGGGATTGTATAGTCGGGTTATTTTAAAGAAATCAGCGCACAAGTTTAAAATATGGGCTCATTTTTCTTGATCTTAAAATGCATTATAAATTAATCCATTTGCAACTTTAAAAAAAAAAGTTTATGCGACATTTGGATTGTTTTTTATAGGATTTTTTTTGAAGATTTTATGTTTTAATGAGAGAAAAAAACATTAAAATGCAATTTATGCATAAATATGTGCACTAAACTCTTCATAAATGAAGTAATTAAAGTGGAAAAAGTTGAAGCACTCCCAGCCCGCGCGTCTTTTTGAAAATATTTTTATTTCGATAGACACCAAACGATATACACATACAATCAAAGCGCTATAAAAGCCAACATTTAAGAAAAATAACTTGTCCTTAAAAAAGATTGCATCTAAGGTAAGAGCTTTACGTTTTTCTTTATTTTTTTTTAAACACAAGAGCTGTGAAGATTTGTTGATTAAAACCCGACCCACGACAATTATCACAACTAATAAATTAAAAAAGAAAAAATTAAAAGACATTTGGCTATACGACATGTAAACTGCCAGAACAATTCACAAGAGGAAAAAAATCACAATAAGTTACATAAAATAATTAGAATAAATAAATAAATATGATGGAAAAAATATTGCAACAATCTTCAATAATAATAGGAATAAAATATGTGCCAGCAATCAAAATTAAAACAATCTATGTTGACTTTTTAAGGCAGTTTTACAGCAGGATTTGGATGTGTATGCAGGCTATTTAAGACTAGGCTTTTCTGTTTACTAAAGGCATTTGTGGTTCTACTAAACAGGGAAAAATTCTCAGTCACACTTTTTTGTTTTTTCCACCAAGACAAAGTTGATAAAGTTCTGTCCTTCACAAACAGGCGTAAAGCTACAGTGATAGAGCAATCACGGTCGGTGAATTCAAGACACTTTGATGGGGAGAAGAAAGATTGCTGAGATTTAAGACATTTCTTAGGTCTAGAAGCTATCATTGAGCATGTTCTGTGCTAGAAAAATACCCTTTAACAGTCAAACTAACGCTTTGTATTCCTTCTCCCCCTCTTGATAAACTAATTTGAGAAATAAAATTTTAAAATAGGCCTATATGTAGTTCAAATATAGAGACAAGCATTCAAAAGTCACTGATTGGCATGGAAAAGACACCACTTAAACATCAAACAGCCCTGCCTTTCATTGGTCTAAAGTTATGGCAGTGGGCTTTTATTTTTTATTTTTTCAACCTAAAGCCACTTTTTTGATTTTTTTGATTTTCATTTTCCCCCATCAAAGGCACAAGTTCTGTTTTTTTTTCTTCAGCAGGCGGGGCGCACCGGCATTTGCAGCAGGATCACCTGCCTGTTCTCCGAGGGGTGGCACTTGTTTATGTGCCTGGTGAGCCCCGGTGAGCTGTAGAGGGTGGCGGGGCAGTACTTGCACGGGTAGATCTGGGAGGAGTGCATGAGGCGCAGGTGTCTCTCCTGACCGGCCCTGCTGGTGAAACTCTCTCCGCACACCGGGCACAGCAGGCAGTCCACCGGGCTCAGATTCAGGGGGCTTTGGTTTGAGGCTTCCTCTGATGATGCTGAGGAAGAGGAGGGGGCGGACACCGGAGGCTGCTCGGGCGCTGATCGCTCGCTGGTTTGAAACCCGTGCTCCTCCAGCACCTTCTTCTGCAGGGCCTGGTGAGCCAGGATGTGTTTCCTCAGGTACGCCTGCCGCTTGAACCTTTTCCCGCAGAACTGGCAGTCGTATGAGCCGTCTTCTGATCCCGATTCGGAACACCCGGGACTCGGGGTGTCTCTGTCACTCGTGTCTTTGGCTTCATCGGAGACCGACTTGACGCCCAGCGGCTGCATTTTGGCCACTTCTGGCTTGACGCTCTGCGCGGGCGCCGCCGCCGGCGCGCCACCGCTGGTCCGCGGTTTGTGCCAGCGGCGGTGAGAGGCGAGGTTAGCGGGGCAGCTGAACATCTTGTCACATTCGGGACACCGGTACTCGACCCTGACTATGCGGGAGCATTTGTGCTGTGCCAGGGAGAATGGATCCGCGTACGCCTCTTTGCACAGCTGGCACACAAACTCTCCTAAAGGTTTGGTTCCCCCGGAGGACTGCGCTCTGGGTTTCATCTCCACCGGCCCCTCTTTGATTTTCAGCCCGAGCACCGGAGACGTGGTCACCTCGTCTTCAAAGTTGAGCTTCCTGATGGCTTTGGGTTTTTTTGAGGCGGCTTTCGGTTTGCGCTCTGCTCCATCTGTGGCGGGTCGCTTGGTTGCGCCCCGGTTGTTTGGTGCTGATAGGCTGTTGCTGCTGGTGCTGCTGGTAGTGGCGATTGCTGCGCCGCCGCGGCTGCTGTTGCTGGTGCCGATTTTCAGATCTACCGGAGCGTACAGGAGGTGATCCAGGCCAGAGAGAGAGGCTGCTGCGGGGAATGACTCTGCAGAAACGGGCGAGCCCAGGTTGAAACTTCGCTCAAAATATCCCCTGTCGTGCTCCTTGCTGATGGGTCGGGTGGGGCTGTAGATGGCTTGGCACACCGTTTCTGGATTGCCGAACTGCTCCGGCTTTTCCAGTCTTGGCACCAGCGCGTCGGATGCAACGAAATCTGGTGACACCGAGGCGCGGTCGGGGCTGGACGCCACGGACATCGGCGGGGATGGGTCCCTGTGACTTGGCAAGGCAGCTGGGGTGTGTAGCTCCTGGAGATCATCCTCATCAGTTCGAGTCCTGTAGGAAACATGTGCGGATTTCTTGTTCCTTTTCACCAGGAATCCTTTGGGCATCTTGGCGAGTAACGGCGGAAAGGCACTTCGGATCTGTGGCTGAAGTCTGGAGGATCCAGATTGGTTAAAAAATATGGCAACACCAGAATTTTAAGGGACCTTTTTCTCCCCTCTTTATCGATCCTTCTGTTGCTGAAATGTTTTCGTCTCCAAGGCATAGCTCCACTCTTTTTATGCCGGAATGATGCTATTGTTCTCGCCCCCCCCTGTTGCAGCATCCCCGACCAATGGGATGAAACCAAGATCCCAGTGGATTTTATTGTGGGAGGGCTCTAAGCCTGGGTTCGGTGGATTTCGTTGGAGGATGTGCAGATAGCTCAGCAGATGTACTGGCGGTTTATTACATTAATGCTCCCCACCTCCCCACCCCTCACCGGCCGAGGCACACGCCGGGACCCTCCTCTTTTTACGGTCTGATGGGCCCCTACACAAATGCACACGTGCCGTTGCTTTGTGGCTCTCCTCTGGGGGGCCTCTGAGACGCCAAATGGAAATGTCCATCACTGCTAAAAATCATCACGATTTAGAATTAAGAGAAAAATTGTTAAAAAGCTGTTTTTCCTTTTCAATTCCTCAAAACATGTTGGTGAAATAAGCATGTTTGAAACGACATCTGTAGAGTTTTCCTCCATCTTTACGCACCTTTACGCAGGAAACCTGCCCAGAGCATCATGTAGAAACTTTAATTTGGTTTTATTTTATTTTATAGCCTGAAAAAGGGGTTTAGTATTTCTTTATTTTTGAGGACACGCGTCTGCCTCGGTAGTTTAACTCGACATATAAATCAGACATCTCGCTGCATACATAAGTAATAAGCCCTCTGGTCTTTGCGCACAATAGCCACGTCTGCGTGTGCGTGGATATATTATTATTTTTTTTCACCGTTTCAAAGGGAAATTGACCCCTTAACTGTGAAAAAGGACTCGCAGCCAATCTGGACCACAGCAAGACGCGTGCTGGGAGCTGCACACAAAGAGCAGAGCTTCTGATGGGACATTTTCAGCAGATATTTAGAGCGGCTGTTCCTTCTGCTTGGAGAAGATATATGTTTTGTTTTCAGTATGTTAAGTTTTCACTAAATAGCTTTTAAAAAAAGTTTTCAAACGTGATCGAATCCAATCCTTCTTTTAATAAAACTTTCTTCATATCCCTTATTTGTTTTTCTAATATTTCATACATTTGCCCGAGTTTCCTGATAAAGCAGGCGTATAAGCGACAGTGCGCCTCTTGGCACAGAGCGCATTCTTTCCCCCTCTTTCAGTGCTGAGACCAGGGAGGAATTAATCTCCATCGTCGTTCATTGTTTCCCTCATTTGCATAAAGCTGCAGTATGACCAAGTCAAATAATTACACAATCGAAGCTGAGCCGCAGGCCTGCAGCCTCCTTTCAATAGGCCTCTGTGTCCTGGATCCGTCTCTCACCTGCTTGAAAACACACCGTTATGTTAGAGTGAAATTCTCCATTTAACTTCAGACAGGTTAAAGAATTGTTTTCAAAAATAAAAACTTAAACATCTTATGGAGAATAGGCTTATTAAAGTTTGTCATGTATTGATCTGATGAAAGATAATTTATTCTTTAAAGTTTAAAGATATTAACCATTTTATAAAAGGCTTAAATGTTGCTGTTTAGCCTTTATATAAACCTTTAAAATACAACTTAAATATTTAGTGATACTTTCTTTGACTTCTCTGATTCTTCTCCTTTGCGCCTCTATTAGTCTTGGTTTGTTGGGACTACAAGCTTTGATGGCATTTTAACGAGTTCCTCTTTCCCTCGATCATTTCTGTGGGGCGCGTGGGCCTGCGTTGCCGGCCTCGCGTGAGCGTGTTTGCTCAGTGGCGCGTGCTGCCCCGCGCGGACTGGAAGCATAGGCGCCTAATTAGCATACAGCTGCAGCCGTTTGTTCTCTCTGCAGACTGGGCCATATCCTCCAAAACCTCTTCACTTGCTTTACTATTGTTTTTTTTAACTATTATTTAAATCTCGTTTTATTCTAACTTTATGTTTATGTTATTTGAACGCGTTCTGGTACATTTTAATTAAGTTTTTTTTTTTTTCAGTAATTCGATTCAAAAATAAAACTTATCTATGAAGTGAAAAGGAGTGACGTATTTTAAGTGTTTATTTCAATTCTTATTAGATTAGAACTTCTTGTTAATGGAAGACAAACATTTATGCTCTCAGATAATTAAAATGCTAATTAAAAACACGTTTTAAGCTGGAGTTTTAATCCAGAAATGTCATGCTATAGCCTACATGAGAAAAACAGCTGAGTTACAGTTGTCTACCAGATAGTTAAAGACAGCCCCCACATGGAGGGTAAGCTAGAAAAGGTCAGAGGAAGCTTCCTTGTTCATAGTGCAAGCATATTCATTGAAAGTTTAGTGAAAGAAAAAGTATGGAAGTAAAATAGATTATCAGAGCCCACAGAGAACTTTGAAACCAATTTAAAGCATAGTACTGTAAGACCAAAGAAATATCCAGATTATACTCCTAAATGCTGGATTTATTGTGTCAAATCATTTCTAAGTAGAAAGATAAAACAAACAAAAAGACACCCAGTGTCTCTGGTTTAGAAAGTATAGTAAGATCAGCTGCTCTTTTGAAATAAAAGTACATTTTTTTTGCATTTCAGCAGGATAATTAAGGTTCCAGAGCCAGGAAGAACACAGAGCTACTTTAGTTGCTCAGTACACCCAGCACCTAGTTCACTTTGTTTCCCTCAGCATTACCAAAGGCCTCCATGTCAGCCTGATTCCATGGATTCATTATTGTAAAAGGAGCCCCACCCAAATATTGAGTACATACACAACAATCAACTTTTAAAAACATATCTCTCTACTAAAAATCTCTTTATTTGTACAATAAGTATTCTGTCGTATTCCCACTTTCTGAAAAACTCTTTTTTTTTCATCTGAAAGTCATACACTTTAAATTGAACAGTGAGAAACTCTTAAATAGATTTCACATTTTTAACTGCATTCTTGAAATAAGTAATGATTAAAAAAACGTGTATTTCTAAACACCAAACCGACTTTTTACCTCCCCAGGTGCTTAAACTGTATTGGGGTGATACTTGGACATACAGAAATGGTAAAGCTCAGAAGTTATTTCATTGCACCACCTACAGGAGGAAGAATTAATCCTGGAGACAATAGTAATCCTCACCTCTAGTTACTGAGGTTTTCACCAGGAGCATTTAAAAGAGTTCTGTGCTGTTTTTCTGTTAAACATTAACTTTGAGTGCAGCAGGGATGTGTGTTCTTACTAAAGCACCCTCGACTTCCCACATGAATGATTGCCTCCATGTGTTGTGCCAAACTGGGACAATTTAAAAAGTGCAACAGGACATGACTGTAATTGGTGCTCACTACAGGACCACTTTCAATGCTCCGTCAATCAATTATTGTAATGGATTATCTAAGGTCCTATTCTTGCTGCTCGTAATCTGATATAGGGCTTTTTCAGCACCATGGAGAGAGCCAGTGAGGGATCCAGATTTAATCACGCTGGCATTGGACACAGCACAGACTCAGCTTTAGCTTTTGTCCCCTTAAAAACTAATCTAAGGAGAAACAATAGACGTGTAGAACAAAAGCGACAGTTTAATGAACTGATTGGTTTTTGAGTATAGTTTAAAAACAAAATTAGTGGGTTGTATCTATGAACAACACCTCCAACTGCTCTAATATGATTATGAAGACAAAATCAATTTACGTTCTGTAGCTGTGATCAATAGATATTTGCCTTAACTCTTTTTCCTAAATGACATGTTCATTTACAAAGCTATGCAAAAGTATTCACACCCTCTGAACATTTTGACATGCTGTCACGTTACAACAGCAAACCTTTTAAAATTTTATTGGAATTTAATAGGAATAATTAACATAAACTGCAGTGGTACTGTTCAGCTGAATAAAAATTATGCAGGGTTTTCAAACATTCCTGCTGTTTGTTTTGTTTAGTTTTTTCTTTATTAGATCCCTTTTATAGATCCCTTTTGCAGCAGATTAGTGTATCCCAAGCTTTAAACATCCCATTCATTCAATTTATCACATTAAAATATAAACAATATGGCTCAATTGAAAACCTACCAAGATTTTGCCAAAAAAACTGATGAACTGAAGAATGATAAATTGAATCATCTTTGGTAACATGGGACAAGCTGCAGACATCCTCAGCTTCACAGGTAGAAAGCCCCACAGTTATACCACGCGAAACATTGATGTGGCAGCATGGAGAAGCTGGTAAAAGTTGCTTGGATGAATTGGAAAAGTGTCAGTTTTGAATATTAAAACAGTCCAAAAAAAATTTGTGCATGAACTTGGAGCAAATTCGTCGTAAGTCTTAATCATGTTCTAAGAGGGACTAAAGGAATTTAAAAACTCCTACTTTTTAGATTTATATTTGGGGAATTCTTTGTTTGGAAAATGCAGCATTCCCAAACTAAATGTCAAGAGAAGGTTTCCCCCTTGTGTGCATGTGTTATGGTTGTGCTTGAAAAGTCTAAATCCTTGCGCATTTAGCAAATTAAACTAGTGATTAGAAAACACACAGTGACATAAATCAAAGTGTAACTGAAAACCAAAAGTAGCAAACTGAACACAACCAAAAATCCAGATCACCAGATCATGGCAGTATCCAGAGTAAGATCTTTGAAATAAATTCATACGTTACATTTCACTACACAGGTATGTGCCTCAATGAAAAATTTCAAACTAAATAAAGTTTGGTTGAAACAAAATACTGAATAATTAAGAAATCTATACTCCAGCAGGACACTATAAATTATCTTAATATTTTATGTACTTCTAATAATTTTGGTAACTTTCAAACTCTTTTCTTATTTGTATTTAGTTTTGTGGCTTTTCTTTAAAAATATCTAAACAAACTGAAATTCATAACAGCCACATGTTTTTTTTCCTTTGAACTGAAGAACTGTAGGATGAACAAAACATGAAAATTCATTGGCGTTTTCTATGAATGATTTATTGAATAATAATGAATATGGATTTTACTTAGTGGCATAAAACAGATTCCTGCTTTTCTCTTACTCGGACCTCTACAGAGGATGACCTCCCATTTCATCCACTGTTAATCTTTGTAGCACATTATTCAACCAGAAATTTAGATAAAAAAATTTCTCAGCTATATTTCTCATCGTCTGAGGCCTTCGAAGCCATCTG